TCTGAAGGCAAAACAGAGGCCGAGGTGATGCATGTGAGTGGTGGCAAGTGGCTGCAGAAGAAATGGGCCAGCAGCGGGCTCCTGCTGGGTGGGGCTGTCGGTGCCACCACTGTCAGTGCCACCGCTGCGATGTGAGTCAATAATTGGAACCCTTCGAAAGGAAGGCCTAGCCATTTTTTCAGGGATCAAAAGAAAATAAGACCCAGCCTTCTTTTTGTTTTTTGACATGATATGTCAGGGTTCCAAGTAACACCCCCAACAAAAGAAAACTCCAAGGCTTGAGTTTCCTCAAAGTTACATTTTATTAGAGATGTCATATTGGCACATCTGGGAAAATCCAAATCTGAAAGTTTCCAGGTTCTCCCCACCCAAAGAAAAGTTCAAGTCCCTGCCAACACCCACAAGTCCATCACATGATCCATTCAAAGCACCATCCCAACTGGAGATGCCTCCCAGGTCCAGCCTCCCAGATGTAGGGCAAGACAGCCTTGACTTTCTGAGAAAGGAATGTTATTATGACTATATATCACCCATGCTCCATACAATATCCCCTCCCAATATCCCACAGTAGTAAATGTGGCAGGACTGAAGGCCAAATACAGAGTCTTATTTTCTTTTGACCCCCAAAATATGGCCTTGGCCTTATTATCGGGGGGGAGTGTCTTATTATTTTTCAGGTGCAGGAGGCCCCTAAACATTGGCCTGCTGCAGGGGGACTGGTGCCGGAGTGCCCACCAGCTGCTTTGCCGGTGCTGCTCGGGCCACTGCCTCCAGCAATTGTGGAAGCTTTTAATTTGCTTCCCATACAAACAGCACAAAGTGAGGAGAAAAGGTGGGGGGGCAAACAGTGGGGGAACATGCCCCATGCGCACGCGCACCTGCCATCCACCCAGAATGGCCTTATGGAGGCCGCTCCTGCAAACCGTAGCTTGTGCACCCCTTCTCTTAGTGGCGGCTGAAAAGAGCAGCCACAAACAAACAGTACCCCTCCCCCCAGGTCGACAGGGCTAGAGCTGGCAAGAGTTTTTTGTGGCTGCTTTTTGCAGCCGCCACTAAGAGAAGGGGTGTGCAAGCTATGGTTTGCAGGAGCGGCCTCCGTGAGGCCGTTCCGGGTGGATGGCAGGTGCACGTGGGGCATTTCCCCCACCGTCCTCCCCACCTCGCCTCCTCACCTCATGCTGTTTGCACAGCAGCTGCGCATGCATATAAGTTTTTGGGGGGAGGTTATTTTCAGGGGGGGGTTATTATAGCATGTACGTTCGAAAGCCCAATTGGGCTTATTATCGGGACATGTCTTATTTTCGGGGAAACACGGTAGTTAAGAGAGATTCAAATTAATTTTCCTGCCTTGTTTCCAAAGTTGATTTTTTTTCTTGGAACCATGGATGGAAATCCTGAAATGTTTCAGATGTTATTGGACTCCAGTTCCCACTATTCCTGTTAATGTTCATACTGAATGGCTTACTTGGCTTAGTTGGAGTTAATCAATGAGACAAAAGAATAGCTTTTCCACTGCTCTAGGGAAATAAGTATGAATACTGTATGCTTTGCATTTCCAATATTGCTAAACAAACAAACAAAAATATTACATTTAATTTTCCCCACCCTATCCTGTTACACCTCTGAGGTAGCTATTTGCACTGAGTGAATGATCTATTATTCTTTCACATCTTGTATTATGGCACGTTCTAGGATTTGGGATAGCAATACTCCTCTGTAAAATATGTTCAGTAAAATGTTGTGTATTGTGAAATTTTCCTTGAGTTAAACTTATCTACTTTTAAAAGATGTTCCCATTCATCGTCAAAGTACAATATATCATATGCAAACTGCATAGAAAATATTCATTTTTCAGGACATTTTTTCATTAGCGTTTACATTTATGTTGAACAGGAAGAATCCATTAGTAAGGTAACTTTATATTATTTTTTTCCATGCATCTGTTTTGGAATGATCATGAACAATTATGTATGCATTTGTGAACAACATAACAGGGTCATCCCTTTTGTTGTGATCTAGTCCCCAAGCTATTGCTAGATTGTTGTAGTGATTATCATTTTTAAAAAAAAAATTCAGAACAAGGTATAGTTTATCAGATGTTCACTAGGGAAATATATATAATTTAATATTCTTATCAGGTAATCATTAATCACTAACTCTTTTGCATTCATAGCAAAGATGTTCACCCTTTTATTGTAGCTTTAATAGTTTTTTTTTCCTTAAAAAGAAATGTGTTCCATGACTACTTGCACTTGAAAAATTGGACACGGTAATTAATTTTTTTTAAAGAATATATGTTGTACTTGGGAGATAATGATCAGACATAATAGTTTATCTTATATATATATATATATATATATATATATATATATATATATATATATATATTTGTTTTCTCAGGTTTTCGCGGGTGTTTGTATGTAGGTCTTTGGTTATTCGGGTCTTCTCCCACGTAAAATTGGAAGTGTCTTGGCGACGTTTCGACGAAGTCTCATTCGTCATCTTCAGGCTGGTGTTCTCGGCTTCGTGCTTCCATTTGCTCTCTTTTTCTGTGTGTGTCTCTATGTCTCTCTGGGTTATTTAATTTATCTAATATTATACTCAAAACACGACATTGCAGTGGAGATAAATCTTTCAAAAGTACCTTTGTTCATCTGAATATATCATTATTACGTATCATTCTGTGGCTTCCAGTTCCCACTCTCCTGGTTTCTAGATTTAACCACTGCACCAAACAGATACACAAAGTATTAACCTTTTGGACAATTTTCAAACTTGTGTGTACATATGAATATGTTTATGCCCATATATTATAATGGATTTTTTTTTTAAAAAAAATCTAGTGTTACAAAATTACTGATAGAGGACAGATGTTTTAATAGAAATATTCAAGGGCTTGTTCAAACCTCATGTTAAAAACACTTAAAGATTCATGAAAAAGCAGAATCCTGATTAATCCTTGACCTTTTGTCTTAATATATTTGTTGGGTATGTTGTATTATTTTATCATCTTATGAGAGTGGCAATAAAAGAAAGCAGGTATTTTTAGATACTTCTAATTTTACTTTGGAATGATTGTTTTCTTTCACAACTTCATCCCGTGCTATCTAAAAATAAATGATTATTTTTATTTTATCCACAGTTAATTATGCATCCACCCCACCCCACCCCCACCTACAATTGGCCTATCATTGCTTCTCCCAGACAGGGAGAAACTAGGCCCAGGAGAAAGGGATTAGGTAAACCTAGCCAACTGCAATTAATGGATCAACCTAAAGCACTTGCTCTGTAGTGGAAATATACAGTGGAATAAAGGTCTTTCATTTAAATACATCTTCAGTGCTGTGATTGGAAGAAGGTTGATGACAGATAAAATATTTGATCCTTGCTTAGTGTTTCTGTTCATGAATCCATACCCTACAGATTTACAACTCACACACTGTCTAAATATTCTCAGATTTCTGAGTAGGAAGCCCCAGCAGCTTGATTCTATAAATAATGATATGTTTCAAATAAACCAATTATTGTAACCTCCAAGGGATTTCCTAGGGATTTGCACACAGTCTGTATCACAATGAAAGTCCTCCTAATATGCCACAGTTACTAGACTGAACATCTCTAAACAAGGCCCACAAGCCTCCTCAAATCTCTTAAAAACAAACATCTTTCTGGTGACCCTTTGTTTTTTAACCCATTTACCAGTTCTGACTGTAAAAGATCTGTTATTTATGATTATATACATATAATTAGAGCCAATACCACTTGCTTTAACCTCCCTACTTTTTTTCTTTTTTCTTTTTCAAAAACAAACAATCCTTGGGAACGCTGCAGGTTCCTTGATGTCTATAGACTACATTTTACTTAACGTGCATAAAGCATATTGTGAGGGCCAGGCAGTTACTTATGTAGTTCTCAAATTATTTGTTTATTGATAGCTCAGGTTATCGTGTCTTTTATATGTATTATTAAGCTAAAAAAAGAAAGGGACCAAATTTAAATGATTTTATAATGACTTCAGTTCTAGTTTAAAAAACTTAAGAAATATTTGCTTATGGCATGCATAACATCAGATTTATAGTTGGGTTGATTTCACTTGTTAAATCAAAATGAACAAACCTTGCCTTTCTCAGAGATTGTATCAAAACAAACAGCTCTCTTTCATTCAAAATAATATGCTTCACTTTTTATAAACTTTAAACTTAAAATTTATGAGATATTTCTTTTAAACCTTAATGAATGAATGTTTTAGGTATATGTTGCTGAAAGCATAGTATGCAAAATGCAAACTTCAAATGCAAACGTGTTCACTGAAAAATAAGCCATTCACTGGTTTACTCTCAGGAAAGTATGGACAGAACTACAACCTTAGTATTATCTCTGTATATGTGGTAAATCTTGTGATTTGTCATTTAATGAAAACTGAGCATGCTGGAACTGTTTTTTGTTTTTTTTAAGAACAGAGAATGTGGGTTTTGGTTCTTCAGACATTTTCTATTCAAAGCTCTCTGGTTGAGTGCAAAATTATTCTTTTAAAAATGTGAGTGTTCAGCATACAAAGGGAATGACTTGGTCATGCTTCTGCCACTCACCATTCTTTTTGTACTATGTTATTTCTGTTCCTTTTCATGTTGCTGAAAGGAACATGAAAACATTACTTACATAGATCAAGGCTCTGCTAAGGTTAAAGTCAATCGAACCAAATGTTCATTTTCAAGGATATAAATGCATCATTGAACATCCTAAGAGAAACTGTTGTTATGACCTTTTTGAACTGAAATCACCATTTACACAAAGAACTCAGAAATTCGTTATTTTATATTAAGCTTAAATGAGCCTGGATTTATGCTAATTAGTTTCACATGTCATATTTTACTGGGTGTGCTAGCTTGTTTGCTAGCTTGTTTGCTTGCTAAACTTGTACTTTGCCAAATCTAGTGACTCATGGCAGTTTTCAATATACTCAACTGTAAAACAAAACATATGGTTGAATCCAGCCATCATACAAAGGTAAAACATTAAAATTCATTTAAAATAGTCATATGGGCCAAAGGAATTGTCTAAACGGAACATTAAACTTTAAAGGCCAAATGGAAAAGTTCCAATTTGGTATCCTTATGGTATAATACCAGTTTTGGTATCAACTGGACCCTTGAGTGGAGATTTTTTCATTAGCTGGGATCACCAAAAAACACTGTATCTTGGCTCCTACACTTCTTATCTCAGTTATGTAGGGATACCAATCATCACAATATGCATAGAATCCTATAGTGAATAGAATAGAATAGAATAGAATAGAACAGAACAGAACAGAACAGAACAGAACAGAATACAATACAATACAATACAATACAATACAATACAATACAATACAATACAATACAATACAATACTTTGTTGATCAAGTATGATTAGACACATAAGGAATTTGTCTCATTGGAGAAGCTTTCCATGTATATCCAAAACAATAGAGTAATAATAACCGTAATAATAATAATGCAAATAAGAGGTGGTAGTAGGGAAAATAACACTACAGTCATACAACATTGTTAAATATACTTAAACAAGACAGTACTGTGGGAATTAGGTACCATGTTTTGCCGAAAATAAGACCCGGTCTTATATTTTCTGGGGCTCCAAAATAAGCATTAAGGCTTATTTTTCGGGAAACATGATATCAGGGTGATTAGTCCAGCTGGGTGCCTCCCCCCACTGTGCACACAAAAGGTGGCGAGTGTGCAGAGGCTGACATCTGGCAGCAGGTGCAGCTCACTGGCCCCTTGGTCAGCGCACTCTGGGGCTGTGCAGCCTGTGCAGCGCAGGTGAGTTGATTACCTATCCAAACAGCAGACGGCAGCAGAGGTGTGGTGGAGAGCCACGCTATCCAGATGTGATGCACAGGCCATCGGAAATCCAATAGTCAGTGGGCCAGAGTGGTCGGTCATGGGAAGCTCATCTTCACGCGGCAGCACCAGGAGCTGATGGAAGCAGAGGCCCAGGGGTAAGGCAGGCGATCCCAACACACTGCATGGGCTGCAGGCAAGCCAAGAGACATTGGGACAGAGTGGGCCGGAGGGCATGGGAGGCTCATCTTCACATCTATCAGTTTGCCTGTGGTCCACACAGCGCGTCCAGTTTCCCCTCCCCGTGCCTCTGCCTCTGTCTGCTGCCAGTGTTGCTGTGTGAAGGAGAGCCTCCTGCAGCCGCCCACCTGCTCTGGCCCACTGACTCTTGGCTTTCCCACAGTCTGCACGATTCATCCAGATTGCATGCCTCCCCAACCTGCTTCTGCCTCCGTTTGCTGCTTGGACAGGTAATGAATTCACCTACACTGCTGAAGGCTGCAGCTGCTGCAGGACATGATTGGCCCCATGCCCTCATTGCCTCTGGTGCTGACCATGCCCGCCGGCTGATGACCACCTTAATGAGGGTTTATTTTTGGGGTAGGGCTTATATTAGGAGCATGCTTAAAAATCGGGCTAGGTCTTATTTTCGGGGTAGGTCTTATTTTTGGAGAAACATGGTACGTTACAAACATTTTCTTTGTTTTCTTTAGTATATTGATATAGGGGGTTTTGGGTATTTACCTTTTTCCCCTCCTTTTGTATTAATTGATTTATTGATCTTTTGCTATATTGTAATGTTGAAAAAAAAAGGATCATAACTCTTGATAGCTTAAAGTACTCACAGACTACATTGATTCTTTACTGCAATGAAATATTTGGTTAATACTTTTCAAGTGTTGTAGCACTTAGAACTAGCTGCTTTGAATATTAGATAGAACATTTAAAAATTTTGTCTGATGTAAATGATTTTAGCATTAAAATTCATAACATAATGAATTATTGTTGGATCAATGGAGGAGGAGCAGGAGGAGGAGGAGGAGGAGGAGGAGACAGGCAGAAAACAAAAGCCCAGAAATAGATTCACAGGGCATCAACCAGCTGTTGGAAGGATACAAGTGCCAGATGCTATAATCAATCAAAGCAAGGTCTGTAAATTGAGTGAAGGAAAGCACTATAGACTATCAACTCTGATTGCTGAGGATGAAGAACTTGGTAGGTGACTCCTTTGTCAGGGTTTGGAAGGGGGTGGAAGACAACACTGTCCATTTCAGCACTCAAGAAATATAGACGGTAAGGAAGATTATCCTGGAATTTACAAGAACTGTTACCTAGGCTAAAGTGCTGAATCATTTTCAAAGTCTAAAACAATGAAATAACACTCAGAACTGGCACACTCAGAAAAGTCGCGGTGGCGCAGTGGTTAGAATGCAGTATTGCAGGCTAATTCTGCTGTCTGCTGTCTGCTAGCAGTTTGACAGTTCAAGTCTCATTGGTTCAAGGTTGATTAAGCCTTCCATCCTTCCAAGGTTGGTAAAATGAGGACTCAGATTGTTGAGGGCAATATGCTGACTCTATAAATCACTTAGAGGAGGCTGTGAAGCACTGTGAAGCAGTATATATAACTAAGTGCTATTGCTATTGCTGACAGATGCCTCCCTAATTTACTTGAGTTTAAGTAAGAGGAGATAGATCACAATGAGTCTTGCAAAATTCTTGCAATAAAAGTAATTTTAGCTTTCCTATAGAACTGATTTCCTGATCTGATCTATGAAAGGAAGTTAACAAGAAATGGAGGATTACCACTCATGTACAAGCAGAAAGTGTAGATGTATTCTAGATCTAACTTGAACCAAATTACAGAATTTAATATAATAACATTATACATCAAGTAACAAAGATACATTTCTAGAAAATTAAAAAGAAACAAACTCTCCTATTTTTGATTTGGACACAATGGAAGAACTGGTTACAAATGTAAAAGCAGTGGAAAATCGGAATAACTATGTTATCCTGAGGTTTAAATTTATCTGAAGATAAAGTTAGCATAGTTGTACATGCATATTATCTTTCATGAGAACCAATTTCAGAAAGCTTAGAGAAGTACTAGGCAGAATCCCATTGACAGAAATCTTAAGGTCATAGATTTAAGGGGAAAGAAACCTTTCAAAATATTGGAAATTTAATTGCACATTATTCAACAGGAAAAAAATGAGGAACATCTTAGGAAAGTGTTGTGAATGCATTGAAAGCTAATAGGGTTTAAAGGAATATGCATGAAACTTGAAAAATAGGGCAGTCACCAAGGAGATATACCAGTAAGCAGTTAATATATATGCAGAATGAAAATTATCAAGGTTAAAATTCAAAAGGACAAAATCCTTTTCCTTGTCAATAGAAAAAATGAAGAATATCTGTAATGATTATAAACTGGTCAAGAAAACAAATGGACTCTGCAAGAAAGTTGAGGGATTGATATTAGTTGGATGGTTTGGTGATTGAAGCAGCTCACCTTATTGGGTGATAGCATTGAAGGGAGGTGTAGTTAGGTGCTTAGCAGTCCATTGACAGAAGATTGACTGACTGACGGCTGTTGGATTATAATTGGAAGATTGAGGAAGTTTTCTAATTGCCCATAAGCATTGGGTGTAAGACAGAAGTACTTTAGATAGCAAAACCCGCTCAGGAATTGCATATACATAGTGAAAACCACAGGTTGGAATATGTATTGCTATGAACAGGAATAGGGGGAGGCTATAGGATTCTAATAGCAGTGGATAGAGGAAAATGTGGTGAGATTTGCAATGGGGGGCTGACTATCTGTAGCTCGAGTGTAGGATGAGGGTGAAGTTTCAATCTCTGAACTTGTGGGCTGGTTTCCGAACGTTTCATTACCAGGCTACATAAAATCTTCAGCAGATTTTAGGGCAGTGATGGCTAATCTTTTTGCCATCGCATGCCAGGAGGGGGGGCAGGGAAGGTTCGTGCATGTGCGTACCCACACCCATAATTCTATGCACCCCACCCTGTGCATGTGCACACGACCCCCCTCCCCTCTGCTCCTGGCCCGGTAGGCCCATTTTTCTTTTTCATTTGGCTCCAGATCCTCTCTAGGAGTCTCTGGAGGCTGGGGAAAGCAAAAAATGTCACTTCCTGTTTAACTGGAAGTTGGGAAACAGGCCATTTCGGGCCTCCGGAGGGCCTCTGAGGGGGTGGGAAAGGCTGTTTTCACCCTCCCCAGACACATAGAGAGAATCTGGAGCCAGGTGAGAAAGAAAAACAGACCTTCCCCACCCCCCAGGCCCTCCAGAGGCAGGAAACACCTGTTTCCCTACTTCTGGTATGCTCAGAAGGCCTTCTGAGCAGAGCTAAACTGGCATGCCCACTAATATGGCTACACGTGCCACCTGTGGCACGCGTGCCATAGGTTCACCATCACGGTTTTAGGGGATGTCAATGTCAGTATTCTTCTGTTTATAAGGGCTTCATATGGTCAGTAAGTCTTCTGATAAGTCAGGTGTGGGTGTGTCAAGTGACAGTGTTTTAATGGGTCTTGTGATGGGTCAGGTGGGAGTCATAGTGGGAATCAAGAATAGCCACACTCTTTCATGAATTATCCAGAACCAAAGACAAGATACAGAAGGATGAAAGAAACAATGTAATTTACAAAATTAACTGTAACCATTGCAACCAATTCTATGTGGGACAAACATCATGTGAATTAAAAACCAGGATCCACAAACAATGGCTGGCAGTCAAATGCCATGTTCCCAAATCTCTAATCTCTACCCATACTGACACCAAACAGTACAATTTTGATTGGAGAAACACAAAAATCATCTGCCACTCTACCATCCACCATGCTCGTGAGTTCATCAAAGCCTGGTGCTCCACAACTACATCAACAGACACATTGATCTACAACCAGCCTACGAACCTCTCAGAATCCAAATCAGCTGCACAGCCAATCAGAGACAGCACCAACTCTCAACCAACTCAGGCAAGACCTCTCCCCCACCAGCAGTTCACCTCCCAATGACCCTTACCTGATGTAACTTTGCCATCATAAGGCTGCCACTGATGACTCACATGCATTATTGAGACCTGGCTGTGACAACAGGGCTCACTGAGATCTTTCCAGTTGGTTTGGCACAAGCTGAAACCCCAGGGCAAGGAAGTGGGGCTGCAGTGTTGTCCAAAATACTTGGAAGGCATCTGAAAGCTTTGCCCCACATGTTGCTAGGTGTGAGATGCTGTTTCTTAAACTGGGCACCAGGAGACATCAGGTAGGACTGCTACTATTGCACCAGTATCCCTGCTATGTGGCTACTTCCCTGCCTGAGCTCATTGATTCTGTGGCTGGGCTAACAATGAGGTTTCTTGGATTTATGGTATTGGGGGATTTGAATCTGCCATCTCTAAATACAGGGTCAGAGATTATTTTCACATTTTCAGACACCAGAAAGATATGAAGATAATGAAACAGAACAGCAGTCCCTAACCTTTGCAGCTTGGTAGCCTGGCTGGAGAAAGAGGGGGGAACTGGGCCACATGCATGTGTGCACTCCTGCAGCTCTTGTGCACATGGCAGACCAGTGTGCAGGCAAGCAGTTCAACTTGTGTAAGTAGTGGGTCAGCACGCACATGCGCGAGTGCCCACTGGCCTAATGCTTGACCAAGTTGAGCTGCATGAGTGCTGGTTCTGGCCAGCCATTCCCATGACCCAATTCCAAATAGGCCAAGGCCCAATAATGGGCCATGGCCAGGGAATTGAAGGGCCCTGCTTTGGAAGATACTATCATGATTCCAAAGAATCTTGACAAGGTAGAACAGAGGGCAGAAAGAATATGACTTTCAGTAAGGACAAATGCAAAATCCTATATTGTGTAAAGCAAAACAAAATCATGAGAATAAAATGGAGAAACCATACTCAGCAACACTACATGAGAAAGGGATCTGAATGACATAGTAGATTTTAAGACAAACAGGAGTCAACTGTGTAATATAGTTGCAAAAACAACAAATGCCATCCTAAAGCTCTCTGATGCTCCCAAAGGGCTGTCAAGTATAATTATTCTAGAAAATAGGAGAAGAAATCTATTATGGTTGATTGCACAGTCAGGCAGATGTTTAGACTGGATTTGGCAGATGTGTAATAATATTAAAAGTATTGTCGCAAGATATCAGCTGTTGCTAGTTAAATTATTTGCAATTGTTGGTGCAATTGATGGCAATTTTTTTTTATCATCCTAAAGCTGTCTTGAAATATTCAAACATATGTCAAGTAGAAATCATGGCAGGATTATTTAAAATTATCCAGAAGATAGGGCGAGAAGATACACATGTGAAATCATAGTTACCAATTCTTTAGCTGCTGTTGGCCTTACACATCAAATTCTTCTCAAGGACGTCATAATGTATCAGCAAGGCATATGTACAGATCCAAGCAGTGTGGTCTTTTATAATTGACAGATGAAAATTTTGTCAAGGTTCAGATTTTCTAAGTGTCATTCAAAATGTTTTAGTTTGGCAGGCATTATTATTAGTGGTATTTAGAATATAATAACAGAATTGGAAGGGACCTTGGAGATCTTCTAGAACAACCCCTTGCTTAGGCAGGAAACCCTATACCACTTCAGACAAATGGTTATCCAATCTCTTCTTAAAAACTTCCAGTGTTGGAGCATTCACAACTGGAAGAAAGTTGTTTCACTGATTAATTGTTCTGTCAGAAAATTTCTCCTTAGTTCTAGGTTGCTTTTCTCTTTGATTAGTTTCCATCCATTGATTATTGTCCTATCCTCAGGTGCTTTGGAGAATAGCTTGACTCCCTCTTCTTTGTGGCAGCCCCTGAGATATTGGAACATTGCTATTATGTCAACCCTAGTCTTTCTTTTCATCAAACTAGACATACCTAGTTCCACCAACTGTTCTTTATATGTTTTAGCCTACAGTCTCTTAATCATCTTTGTTGCTCTTCTCTTCACTCTCCACAACTTTTTTACATCGTGGCGACTAAAACTGGATGCAGTATTCCAAGTGTGGCCTTACCAAGGCATTATAGTGTTAGTAACACTTCATGTGATCTTGGTCCTATCCCTCTGTTTATGCGACCTAGAACTGTGTTGGCTTTTTTGGCAGCTGCAGCACACTGCTGGCTCATATTTAAATGATTGTCCACTAGGATTCCAAGATCCCTCTCACAGTTACTACTATTGAGCAAGGTACCATATATATTGTACCTGCAGGGGTGGGTTCTACTTACCTTTACTATAGGTTCACAGGGGGAGTGTGCATGCTTTTGTGCATGCACAGATCACCCATGATGATGTGGACAGAACCGGGAGCAACCCACCACTGTGTACCTGTGCATTTTGTTTTTCTTGCCTAAATGTAGAACCTTACTTTTTTTACCATTGAATTTCATTTTGTTAGATAGTGCCCAATGTTCAAGTCTGTGAAGATCCTTCTGTATCTTCTGGATGTTGGCTATTCCTGCTACCTTGGTGTCATCTGCAAATTTGATGAATTCCCCATCTATCCCTTGATCCAAATCATTGATGAAGATGTTGAAGAATACTGGGCCTAAAACAGAGCCTTGGAGTACCACACTGCATACTTCCCTCCAAGTAGATGCAATTCCATTGAGCACTACATGTTGAATGTGGCTGGTCAGCCAGTTACGAATCCATCTGGTGATGATGCTGTCTAACCCATTATTTTATCAAGTAGTACGTTATGGTCTTCTTTATCAAATGCCTTACTAAAGTCAAAGTAATTACTTCATTGTGAGCCTTAGCTTTCCTCACTTCATCTTTGCAGGCTCGGGCTATTTACTGATATTCTGCCTTAGTTATGTACCTCTCTTTCCACTTTTTATACTTGTCCTTTTTGTCTTTCAATTTGACAAAGTGTTCTTATGCAGCCATCCTGGTTTCTTTTGAGAGCTGTTATTTTTTTTCTTCATTGGTATTGTGCTAGACTGGGCTTTTATAATTTCACTTTTCAAAATTTCCCAAGCTTCTTGAATTGTTTTCCCCTTGAGCAGGGGTGGGCAAATGTGGCCATTTTACAACCTGTGGACTTCAACTCTCAGAATTCCTGAGACAACTTGATGTCTTAGGAATTCTGGGAGTTGAAGTTCACAGGTTGTAAAAGGGCCACATTTGCCCACCCCTGCCCTTGAGGATTCTTAAGCTTTCTCTAAGTTTATTGAAATTAGCTCTCTTAAGGTCCAAGATTCTAGTTTGACTTTGTTCTATTGCTTGTGCTTGCATAATGTTGAATTCCAATATTGCATGATCACTTGCCCCCAAGGTTCCTGTAGCTTCAACACCTTCTATCATTTCATCTCTGTTAGTGAGAATTAAGTCCAATATGGCTGATCCCCTTGTTCCCTTCTCTACTTTTTGGGAAACAAAGTTGTCTGCTAGGAACCTGTTGGATCTTCCACTTGGTGCAGAGTTTGTCTCCCAGTTGATGTCAGGGTAATTTAATAAAATATTTAATAAAATAGATTTATAATCTTGCAATGGTTCATATTTACATTGGTGGGATATTTTGGTTGTATATCAGAAAAAAAATCCTACGCATAAGAGCTATTCACACTTTCAAAGCAGCAACCTGGATCATTCTTTCTAAAGAGTCAACCAATGCTGGTTTGTTATTTTTGGAGTTTCTTCCAACATTCTCTTCTAAGCACATCAAATTATTCTGCATCTCTTTCAGGACTTTTGGATATATGTGAGGCCTTAGAAGGCAAATCACACTATCAGTGAGACAACTCAAACAGGCATCTGAGATTTCCTCCAGGAATAGAGAGCCAAACTTGCTCTTTTATCTAACCTAACAGATGAACTTAACATGCTGTCATGTGTGGGAGGCTTGCAGTTATGTGTAATTTCAATATATTCTTGTGCCAATGCATCTGTGGATGGAAAAAATCCATTTAAAGGCATCAAATATTACTTCATGAATGGCAAAGTATTGTCAGAGATATTGTCACTGAATATAATTAGTGAAGTTTTTATATATGAAGGTGTCTAGAAACCAATTTTGATTTTATTGCAATTAATGTCTGGTGACTCATAGAAAATATCTGGTCAGCAAATGGTCCATATTTTATCCTCAGCCTATATAGTTCACAGAATGGTTAAAATGAACTTTTGCGATCAAGATTGACACATTATGAGCTGTGGTGGCACAGTGGTTAGAGTGCAGTACTGCAGGCTGCTTCTGCTGATTGCCAGCTGCCTGCAATCTGGCAGTTCAAATCTCACCTGGTTCAATGTTGACTCCATCCTTCCGAGGTGGGTAAAATGAGGGCCCAAATTGTTGGGAGCAATATGCTGACTCTGTAAACCACTTAGAGAGGGCTATAAAGCACTGTAAAGCGGTATATAAGTCTAAGTGCTATTGCTATTGCTGTCATTTTAGAAAATTTGCTTTCCTGTGCCAGCTTTAATAGATAGTAGCTGGTAACCCGGTGTTATAGACATCAAAGCCTTTGTCTGATAGGGAGCCATTGAGAGGGGCCTTTCTTCCCCCTACTCCCATACCCATCATCCCTGGCCTATCCCTTCCCCCTGCCATGCACTCTTCTTTCCTGCCCTGTCTACTATCTTGGCACTTTGCCCCAAATCCATCAGGCGCTTCCCCATTGCTCCACTGGAGAGAGAACATTACGGATGCCTTTCCAGAGGAAGATGCAAAGGAGCTGACATTACAAACAATTGCCACTCTAGGATGCCGCACTCATGCTCCTTAACGGCCCAGGCTCTCCCTTCCCCCTCCCATGACATCACAAACAATTGCCGCTCTAGTACACCACACTTGCTCTCCTTAACAGCCCAGGCATTCCACAGTTATGCTAGATCACACACACCAGGGGTGTTTTACCCCCACAGTATTAGTTTCCAGATAGTAAGTCATCTGTGTACCAAGTTTGGTTGAAATAGCTCGAGGCGTTCCAGAGTTATGCTGGAACATACATACATACAGCCTTTTTTATATAGATAGATGTAAAACTTTGAATCTAAGTTTTGCCTTAGCATCTCTAAAACTAATGTAAGTTCCCATAGCTTAACATTATGGAAAAACAATTGTTTTGGAAGAATCTGACAAAAACAATCTCTATAGAGTTGTGTAATCTTATAAATTTCTAAAATAAATATTTAAAAAAAAAAATAAGGTCACCTTAAAGATTTATCTAGAAATACATTAAACAACCAAGCAACGCCATTCCTTTTCTAAAAATATCATTTATACTATGCTTTACTTCTATTAT